TGCTTTCTCAGCCATCCCGCGTTGACAGGCATTGTTGTGCTCATGATTGCGTCCGGGTAAATACCACCTGCATAATAGCGCCAAGCAGTCCAATAGCTTTGTGTCGTTTAACTGACCTTCGCTTATACTCTTAACGAGTTATTCCGGATGGCTGATTATGTCGCGAGACCGAGCCGCCCGCCGCCAGGGACGGCAGGGGGGCCGGTGACACGGTAGGCCTGGAAGCCGTGGCCGCCCCCGCATGAGTGGCGCGACAGGCGAGGTGGCGAGTCGGAGAGGCTGAGGGAGGGCGCGGAGCTGCAAGGGGCTCTACGACGTTAGCCAACTGGACAGTCAGCTCCCTTTGCTTAGAACAAGGTCTCGCAACCAACATCTGCAGCTATGGGTTTAAATGCCTCCATAACATTTTAAAATGAGGTCACAAAGCGTAGGTTATCAAATCACCTAACTTAGCAAACAGTGCAGGTGGAACGCACCATTTTTCATGGTCGCTTTCTTAATAAATCCATAAAAATTGGATAGGTCAGCCACTGAAACAAAAAATATTCTTTCAGATCGCTGTTAAGTTCCGTCAGACGATAGTCCTACAGACAAATGTCTAAATTCTACCATCACTGCCATCTGATCTTTGACCTGTGACGAATGCGCGACTGTTCCGGCACAGTGATGGCCTTTTTTCCTAACCCATGATTTCTATATCATCGCCAAGCTATCAGCGAAGCCTAGTCACTATGCTTTTAGAATTTGATGGGCCTGAGAACAAATCAGCACTTGCCTCCGTACAGCCTTAAATTACAGGAGGGAAGTTCTGCCTGCGCGTACTATTCCATTACCGCCGCCTGTGTTACACCTCTGACGCTTCTGACTCCTTGACCCGGCACGTGCTTCTACATGCCAATCTCTCGGATTTCTGGATATAAACCCCTTAAAGTCCCGATATCTGACCGTTACGTTCGTATGCGATTATGCTTGATGTACTCTATTCGCAACTTTGCACAGGGTATCACACCGGATACAAGCACCGGCGCACCTAAGCGCAAAACAAGATAATGACATAGGTCGACCTAATGGATGTCGTCACGAAATGTCAAAGCGAGCGCTAGTGCTGATAATACTCGACATTAATTACACCTAAACATCCCTCCTAAACGACGTCAGGTTCGCGATGGGATTCACAGGGTGTGACTGATAGAGTACGTAAAGTTCAACGCACGCCCATTTCTAGTTCTTACATAGCAATGCAGTATCTGACTATGTTTCAATGAATCTAATAAATCATAAAGGAAAGTCGGTAACATCAATGACATACATAAAAGAAGAAAGGAAGACACGCATCGAAGAAAATCACGCATCCTCGTAACTTATCTCTCATCTACTTCTGCTCAGAATGAAGATCAACCCAGAATGAAACATGTTTGAGCTCCATTCCCGTTTTATCCCCTTTCAATAAATAGAAATACGAGCTATGAGGCGCCGCATGCGCAGCGTGGTGCCGACCGAATTGAAAATTATACGAGATGAGGTAATCGTGATGATATGAGTAGAGACATGAGCAAGAAAGTCAAACATATGAAGCCAAAGGGTAAGAAGAACACAGCCTGCGTTCTCATAGCACATGCTTGTGAGAGTGTCTGCTGTATCCCGCTCTTCACTGCTCGTTGCGTGTCTTGCGGTAGAGCAGTGCGCGCACCAACTCTACCCAGTAAATCCCCGTCTCTGCCACTGATGTTTCGGTCCCAGTCAGTTTTGGCGTGCGCGTGCGTGGTGCGTCTCATCAGCGTAAGTTGCCGTGTGCTGATTCCCGCGTACGGAAATCAGCCTGATCTGGTTAGAAGCTATGACACTGCATATCTATCGTCCAAAACTTTCGAATCGTACCGCTCACGAAAGCAGCCTCGATCGGACGGTGTGAATAAAAGCAGGAAAGCGCCATGCCGGTGCATGGACAGCTATCAACGCCATAAAGTTGTCCGACGTGTAAGGCGACGGACTAATACGGAAAAGAAATCGTATAGAATTTATATAACACAAAAATGGGAGAGAAAACGTAAATCGTAATGAAAATATCCGGCATGAGATTGTCATTCTATATAGCGAAGACTCTAATAAGGCAACCTTCCGAGCTGGATCGCAGAACATCGATGAGCTTTGCTTATGCAGTGTCGCTGAGCTGTTTACATACTACGATAACAGTGCCCGATAACGATCACGGTAGAGTCGAGCATGTCAAGGAATACAGAAGGGCTTATTCGTACTAGAAATCATCGTATTATGTACACTAGCCTCATGATATATTGCGCATGGTAAATATGTTTGAGCATTCTGGTTGGTCATCAGCCTGATGTCGTACATTGAGCCTACGCACTAACATTTAGAGTTTCTGGGCTGGTGTGGTGTGTCACATTGCGCATTTGTTTGTGACGTGTGTGTAGCATTGGCTGGCACTTTGTTTGTGCCACCGTGTGTGTAGCATTGCGGCATTGTTTGTGGACCGGGTGTGTGTGTAGGGCATTGCGGATTTGTTTTGTGAGGGTGTGTGTAGTCATTGCGGCATGTTGTTGTGCGGTGTGTGTAGGCATCTGGCGGCATTTTTTGTGCACCGGTGTGTGTAGGCATTGGGGCGGCATTTGTTTGTGACTGTGTGTGTACGCATTGCGGCATTTGTTTGTGGCCTGGGTGTTGTAGTGAGCATTTGCGGCATTTGTTTGTGACGCAACCTGTGTGTAGCATTGCGGCATTAGTTTGTGACTGGTTGGTGTATAGCATGCGGCATTTGGTTTGTGAGCCGGTGTGTGTAGCATTGCGGCATTTCCTTTGTGACCGGTTGGTGTAGGCATTGGCATTTGTTTGGTGGTGCTGGTGTGGTGTGTACTGGTTGCGGGCATTTGTTTGTGACCAAATGTGTGTATGCATTGGGATTTAGTTTGTGACGCGTTGTGTGTAGCATTGCGCATGCCATTTGTCTGTGGCTGGTGTGGTCTCGTACCTGAAACTGAAGTACGAGACAAACACGCATGTTATAGACAACACGTGTCCAAGCAGCACGACTCCCGGCCTGCCACGTGTTAAAATAGGAATAGCAACAATTTTGGAAGCATAATGCAATTTTTTAACGAAACCATAAGGCTTCCTTACCACAAGCTTTTCCTTTAACGTGAATGACTTGTAGTGGTTCATATCCGCGTGGTTAAAGACCCCATTCTTTTTAGCACATTAGAGCTTTTCTAGTGCCAGCTGATAAATATAAGATAGAACGTATAGGCAAAACTTAAGTCGCGTCACACTCATAGCGATTCACCAGTTGCGTAAGGTTATCGAAATACAAAACAATAGTGGGCATAAGTTTCCGAACGCCACTCACACGCAACAATAATAGTTTTATAGGTTGAAGTGCGCAAAGCAAGCACGCAGGTGATCGCAGACACACGCAGATAAGTTCAGAAATTTTGAACGTTCGAATATATTCTCCGTGCGAATGCCTGCGATCAAATTTAATAGGCACAGGGACGCAACAGGTACGGCTACTGCACGAAACACGATGCAACTCGATCGCAACACATCGGAACAGGTACGGCAACTCATAATTAATGACACGCAGGTGACGCTAGTCGCAAATTTGAGTATACTGACCAAAGTTTTGTAGCGTACATGCTTGGCGAATGTGTTCGTGCCTGTTGCTGAATCATGTTGCGATCGTGTTGCGTGCCTGTTGCGATCATGTTGCGTGTGTAGCGTACCCAACATATTAATGCGTATTCCAGCATATCCCCAACCTATTATGTGCGGTGATTCGTGGTTAGTTGCGTACTAATGCGTGTGAGAAAATGGATAAATAATTGGACTTTTCTAGGATCGTGTGTCAGTTGTTGGTGATCCTCCGAGTGACAACAATGAGCTACCTCTTGCTGTATTGGAATATCAGTTTTAATCTGGTCAATTTAGCACTCCAAACATCATACAGAATAGAAAAAACAGAAGGGAATAAAGAAAGGAAGAAGAGAAGAAAAGATAGAAGAGGGTGGGTTTAGACCATAGATTAGCATTTCCTCCCTATACCTTAAGTTAAGGAGGGAATGTTCCCCCTTCTTTTACACCTCTTGACCTTTGACCTTTGACCCCCAGCTTCGACACCCCAACTCGTTTTCGGATTACCCCCCACGTCCCGAATATCGTGACCGTACGTCGAGCAGTTAAGATTTGTACCCAACTGTTGACGGATGCACGGACGGACGCACGGACGGACGCACAGACGCACGCTCATGCAATTCTACAAGCTGCATCTGACTATGTCAGATGAGCTAAAAATATAAAGGAAATGAAGAATAATAATAAAAGAAGAAAAGAACCTTCAAAAGAGAAAGAGAGAGAGCGTGCGCACGTGCAAGATGAAAATAACGAGAGAGGTAAGACCGTGAGAGAGAGAGAGAGAGAGAATGAGAAGAAATCAAATAGATCAAGGTAACAAAAACAGCCTTGCGTCTGCATACACTGCTTGTGAATTTCGCGTCCTCTCGCTGTTCGTTTGTTGAACGCGCAAAACCTACCCGCACCCTTCCCATTTTCGGCATCAGTTTTGGCGTTGTGTTGGGCGTGTGCAGCGCATCAGCGTAGTTGCCTTGCGGATCGTAGGCAACCCTGATGTCGTTGAAGTCTATGATCCACTGCAAGCTACGCAGTTTCGTCTCGTACTGCCAGCGCCTGCGGATTGAACAGAGCGCCCCGCGCGCGTGCATACAGAAGCCGCCATCTTTGTCACTGACGCGCGCTCGAAAAAAAATGTATACGTGATTTCAAATAGAACACTAATGGATACGTAAAAGTTACCGAGTTTGCATCTATAACAAGACTTCTAATAAGCAACTTCCGCTGGCAATTTGCAGCACATCATGTGTTTGCTTTCATCCCTTAGCGTTTACGTACAGAGAGTGCGCCGACGTCTATATAATCAAGAGTACATAATAGAGATCTCTATTATGTACTCTTGATATAATGCGCATGAAATCTATTTTAGTTTTGCCGGTGTGTGTAGCATTGCGGCATTTGTTTGTGGCTGGTGTGTGTGTGTAGCATTGCGGCATTTGTTTGTGACCGGTGTGTGTAGCATTGCGGCATTTGTTTGTGGCTGGTGTGTGTAGCATTGCGGCATTTGTTTGTGACCAATGTGTGTAGCATTGCGGCATTAGTTTGTGACCGGTGTGTGTAGCATTGC